AAAGAGCAGAAATGTTCTCAGTGAATTACCCCTGAGGTATTATCAAATCAGATAATATTTGGAAAGTTCTTTGCAAACCTTAAAGTACTATACAAATTTCCACTTAATAACAACAATGATAATAGTTTGCATTTGTATAGTGAAGGATAAGGTCATGATGGAAATGATTCCCTAAACTTCAATACCCACAACTTGGGGTTGAGGGGATGGGTTAGAAACTCAGGCTTAATGATTATGGAGTCAAGTACTGTAATTGATTTAAAAGGGGAGAGGGGAGTAGAAGGGAAGGGCATAAATATTATGTGCCAAATGCTTTTTACAAATATTATCTTATTTGATCCTCACAACCCTATGAGATAAGTGCTATTACAGTCCCACCCCCCTTTTTTTTTTTTACAGTTGAGGAAATTGAGGCAAGCAGAGGTTGTGACTTGCCCAGGGTGACATAGCTAATAAGTGCCTGAGGTGAATTTAAACTCAGGTCTTTCTGACTCCAGGCCCAGCACTCTATCCAGTGTGTCATCAGCTGCCTCTCAGGAGCTGAGTATCTCTCTTGGAAGTGAGGTATAAGGTTAAAAGCGGAAAAAAACGATAGCAGTTAAAATAAGAGAAGAAAGATAAGTATTTTAGGGTCATAATTTGCTTTGAAAATGCTTGCTCCAAAGTATTAGACTTGAGTTTAATGATTGCTTAAGTTTAACAGTTTTATTTTTAACATAAATGTTGGAAGTTCTTAGTTGTACATCTGTTAGGAAGACAACATTTTATAATATAAAGAGCACTGGCCTGGAAATAGGGAGAGCTGACATAGCTTGACATAATTGGATCCATGCTGGGATATCACAAAGTCAAGCATGACCTCGGGAAAGTGACTTAACCTCTCTTGGCATCAGTTTTCCCATATGTAAAAGTGAACTGGGGGAAATAGAAGGGAGAAGAGGCTGTGAAAAAAAGATGAAATGCTTTCCATCTTGAAATACCATAATTCATGTTGATCTTGAGCAGAGAATCACCATCTTAAAAATTAGGGGAACACATGTGCCTTGCTACTAAGACCATGTGACGAGACACTTTAACTGACCACCTGGTAGCATTATACCCAGCTGGAAAAGGCAATTTTGAAAAGGTAAATAAAATTCTTGAGGCAGAATCTGCAAAACCAAGGTTCAGCGATAACAGTTTTGTGACAGCACTATCGATACAAAGAACAGAGTAATTAGCTGAATCTCATACTTTTCTTGAATAAAAGCTGTGATTATAAATGCCAAATGTGTATACAGAATTAGTATGTATTAATTATTATATGAAATAAGTTAATTATAAGTAAAGATGAGTAGATAATCAAAGTTGTATATAATTAACATCATCAAATTTTTATTAAAGATAAATCCTGTAGCTATGCAATTTGCCTTAAAAGCAGAGTCTTGTATTAAAAGATTTTTCTGTATTCAAGGTTGATGGGTACTCTTTATAGTCGAGATTAACATTCTTCTCTACAATTCTTTGATTTTTTTAAAATTACATTGAATGATCTAAATGGAGTTCTTTACTTACTTTATACTCAGCTCTGAGGTCAGTTCTTGGGAGATGTATGAAAAATAGACTAAATGTAGTCTGAGCAAGGAGATTACTGGTTGTCCTGGCATTCACAGATATATACTAACAGGTCGCCAGAAGGCCAGAAGTCTTATGAAATAAGAGAGACTTGGCTGATTCCACAGGGATAGACTGATAAAAGGTCAAGTTCAATGAAGTCAGCTGAGGTAGGTAGGAGCATCCAGGCATGGAATGTCTAGTCAGGCCAGCATTACCTAAAAGCAAGATGGTAAGCGATTCAGGAGAAACAACTGATCAGTCAGCAAGCATTTACTAAGTGCCTACAATGTGACTGACACTATGTGATGGACTAGAAATACAAGGGAAGAGATTAAACCAGAGAGGTTCCTAAACTGGACAATACTACCCTCTGAGGGTGCTGGAACAGGGGGGGGGGGGGTGGTAGTAGCCTTGGATGCAATTGGGGAGCATTGAATAAAAATAAGAGGGTGGTAGAAGCATAAGGAAGGAAAAGAAGATAAGAAAATTTTGAAAAACCATTTGTACATGTTTCATCTGTTGTATAACACAGTTAAAGTCATAGTGATTACATCATTTTCTAAATAAACATACAAAATGCAAGTTATAACTGATCAGTGGTCAAGTCCTCTAACAACTTTTAACAAGCAAGTGTTAGTAGGCAAGCATGTCCGCATTGTTGGGAAGTCCAGCATGCATCTGCCGGAATATGTGATGACTTGTTTACAATAGTTACTATATGGTTACGTGACGCAATATTGCATCATCAAAATTTCAGTGTAGGGAAAAAATCCACAAATTTGCAATAAATTATTAAATTTAAAATGTCATTTAAAAGATATATATATTTTTTGAAATGACGCAATTAAAAAAACATTAAAAGGGTTAATGAAAGATTTGGGGGGCAGTTGCTGAGTACATTTTTTTTTTAAAGGAGGCAGTAGGCCAAACAAATTTGGGAACCTCTGGATTAAACTGTCACTAATCTCAGGAACGCGGACCCTAGGGAAGAAGCCATTTGCTCTATTCTGGTTTCCTCTGCCTGCTGAATACAGGTTCCACAGGGAGTAATCATGGTCAAAAAGAAGCAAGAGGTCTGATGATGAGGCAAACAGAGATGATAGAAAGTAGCATTTTATTTCCAAAAGGAAAGCAAGATCAATTACATTTGTAATGAACAGGGGAAGGTCACAGGATCAAACACTAGGAGTATTGCTAAATAAGACTTCCTGAACCCTGTCCTATACCTTTTGGGTTCCTTGCATCTTCATGTGGCCTCCAGCAGCTTGAAGTATTCTACTCTACCTTGCCCTAAAATATCCCCACTGAACAAAGATTACTCTTTTCTCTTCTCCCTGAATTAGTAAATGTAAAATGTCTCATGCTCTAGATGCATATTTTTAAAAAAATTAACTATTAATTAAGGAATTAAGAGGTCATTGAGATGGAAGTTACAGTAGTGAGTGAAAAATTACTAGTTAGGCAGTAGTTAAAGATTGAAACAGGATGTGTTTTGGCAATGTAATGGAAGCATTTAATGGGAATTTAATAGGAAGAACACTGACTAGTGTGTCAGAAGATCTGAGTTCAAATCTTGACTACTATTTATTCCCTATTTGGTTTTGGCAAGTTCACTTCACTTCTCTGGGTTTCAGTTTCCTTATCTATGAAAAGGAGAGATTAGACTCATTTATTGTTTTGGTGCCAACTCTAAATCATGGGTTTAAATATTAGTCCAGATGGTATTATTAACCATGATAATTCTGAAAATACAATATAAAGAGTACTGGCCTTAGAGTCATAGGAATTGAGTTTGAATCCCAGCTCTGACATTTATTACAATGTGCCACATTATTAGGAACTCTATGACCTAGGGAAGTCACTTAACCTCTCCTGGCCCCAGTTTCCTTATCTTTAGAGTGAAGAGGTTCTACTCCATGACCTCTAAGATACATTTCAGTTCTGGATTGCTGTTCCAATGAAGCCTTGAGGCTCAGTTGCCCTGTCTATAAAATAGGAATAATAATAAAACTTGAGCTACCTACCTCACAGAATTATTGTGAGAAAATGTGCTTTGTAAATTTCAAAGAGCAATGTAAATGTAAGTTGCTATTATTATTTTGTTATTTTATATGTGTGTATATATATGTATATACATACATACATACATACATATATATATTTATATATTAGTCTTGGCTCAAACAATAACTTAGATCTGTGATGAGGGTCAAGGTACTTAACCTCTCTGGACCTTAGTTTCCTCATCTGTAAATGAAAGAGATTAGACTAAATAAAAAGTACCTTTCCTTTATAACATTTTGTACTTTACATCATTATGAGGTTCATGGATTTAGCATTGAGGATGTTTCTTTTAACCATATCATTATTTTATAAATGTTCTCATTAAACATTATGTACCCACAGAGTGGGTGGAGCTTGCATCTATTTAATATTCTAAAAGGCTTGAATTCCTAGAAATTACATGTCACAGGTGCTAAACAGTGGATTCTGAGACTCTGGAAACCTGAACTTTGTTAACCAAAATTCTACAGATTAACATTCAACAATTTATGAATTTACTATCTGTAAGAAAATGTGGTGCAGAAGATACAGATTTAAATAAGATCTACTTATTGTACAGTCTATTTGGGAAAAAGTCACTTTTTTAGGGGATGCATTAGTTGTTTTTTTTTTAATCTATAAAATGGCAGTATAGGGATAGTTCAAACAGAAGGAGTTGGAGAAAGGGGAGATAGATTACATCTGGTCCATTGCAATAGCTACATATCAAAGTAGAGTTCTTTATTGGCTTGATAATGGAGGTGGGCATTGGAAGTGGTTTGGGGAGGCTATCGCACAGTTTATCTCCATCCCTTTATTACAGGGCTATTAGAATTCTTCCCTTTCATTCTTTATGCCTTCTCCCTCTAGTCTTCAAGCCCTTGAAATACTTATGATTTCTTAAGTAAGTCCTAGTTTGGTGCCAATAAATTTTTCTCAAAGAACAACCTTTCGAACTCTTCTTGCAAATACAGAGACAGCTTTCAGTTAATCAAAGACAATGTCAAATTGGTAGATTATCAATGCCATTATTTTCTTCTCTCCCATTGCTTGCCTTTTTTTACCATTTTACTACCACGAGCATTTCAACTAGAGTCTGAGTAGAGATGAAAAGATGAGGGACTCAAACCTCACCATTTTGCACCTTCTTGGCCACTCCAGTGCAGGATTTGGTGAATAAGATACAGCTAACCAAGCTAGTTAAATTGAGTCTTTTGGATTATCTGTGGATTTCTTTTATCCATGCTCCCCCCATACACACACACATTTCTAAATATATATGGAAGGATTGTGCTTCTTATAAAGAAGCTGCTGTTACACTTGCCCCAGGGCATGTGCTAAATTCTCTTTCTTCTATTCAGAAGAGAAGCCAGATTGCTCCAAGGCCCGCTGTGAAGTACAGTTTTCTCCACGCTGCCCCGAAGATTCTATTCTCATCGAGGGTTATGCTCCTCCTGGTGAATGCTGCCCATTGCCAAGCCGTTGTGTGTGCAACCCTGCAGGCTGTCTGAGGAAAGTCTGTCAGCCAGGATACCTGAACATATTAGTGTCAAAAGCATCAGGGAAGCCAGGAGAGTGTTGTGACCTCTATGAATGCAAACCAGGTATGCACTTGTCTTTGCTTCAGCAAAGTTCTCCCTTATAGTACACCCTCCATCCACATCTGCAGAGGGAAAAAAATCTGCCACCACTCCTTTGATAATGAAAAGTTCTCCCACTCCCTGTAAACTCACAAAAGATCTCAAACTTTGGGTGTGAGACTGACTTTGACTTACAAATTAAAGAAATCAGGTTGGCTAATATTTCAGCATGTCAGCTCCTTGAAGAGGACTGTATCTTCTTCTTGTTTCTGCAGAGTGCTTAGTATAGAGTCCATTTGCATGAGGTCACTCCATGTTTGGTGGTGGTATTAATAATACTGTATTTATCCACCATTTCCTCACTTTTCCTGAGGAGTTCAAAGACTATGTTTGCAAAGTTACTCTCATTTGAGAAAATAAAATGCTTAAATCATTAAACATGATTCATCATCACAAATTTAACAGCCATTTTAAGAATTAACCCACGCGCCAAGATGCCAGGATTTGCATAATGAATTGTATAGTCCCAAATCTGCTCCCTGTTGAAGGCACCACCCTCTCCCTTTTATCTGCAGCACCCCTCTAAATCATCTTTTAATCTTCATTTGCTTTCTTTCTAGACATCAAATGCGTTGCCATACCCCACTGCTTCTCCCTTCATAACATCTCTAAAATTTTCCCTCTTGTGGCAAAATCCTGTGTTTGTGCTATGATCACCTCTGGCCTGTTGTGACCACCTCTATCTAAATCTCCCAACCCCTAACCTACTTTTTTAAAATTATCAGGTTAATGTCTCAGTAGAAACAGTCTTTTGCCCACCCTGTGGACTGGGCTTCATCCAAACCCACCACTGATTCTGCATCGCCTTTCACATATTTATCCTTGGTTTTTAAGCCTCTCTCCTGACCTGCCCTGTCTTCATCTTCTTTCTTGATTTAGCCTTGTCTCCCATCCTTTCTTCTTTCTGCAAGGACTGAAAATATATTGAGGTTTTTTAGTGTTGACAAATGCCAGTGTAAGAATGGGGTTGCTAGATACATTTCTGGTTGGTGAAAGAAGGTTGGAGATCTGTCCAGTGCTCCATTTCAGGACTTGATAACAAGAATAAAAATCTCAGTAAATGGTGCCTCTCTGTTTATCCCCCTTTCAGTTTTCAGTGTGGACTGCAGCACAGTGGAATGCCCTTCCATTCAACAGGTTGTTTGCCCGCTGGATAGTTATGAAACTCAAGTTAGACTGACAGCTGATGGCTGCTGTACTCTTCCAACAAGGTTCGTTTGTCTTTTGTTTATCAAGTTTTCACCCTTGTCTTCTTCCATGTTAGCACCATCGAGACTGAAATTTTAAGCATGTGTTCTCTTTTCGGTGGAAAACCTAATATTGTCATGTTTCCATGGAGAAATTTTTGAGATGTTACTATTATTTTGTATTTACATACCATCTTCCTTCAGAGCCAGATCCAAGTGCTTTAAAGTTATTAACTCATTAATCTTCGTGGGGCCCTCATACAGGAATAGCTATACTTTAAGAGACAGAGAACATTGAAGGCAAATAATTCCATGGCTATGTGTGTATGTAGCATGATAACCTGTATGAATGCCTTTGCTTACTTTAAAATAGTGCACTTAGAATTGTTTAGTGCAAGATAATCATCAGCTTAGTGGAAGTGCTGCTAAGGGATCCTTAAGAGATCATAGCTCCAGAGTTGGCAGGAACCTCAGAGACTATCCAGTGCATCATTTTCCAGTTGAAGAAACTGAGGCCCATAGAAATTCATTGACTTGCTCAACCATGATCACACAGGAAGTGAGCATCAGAGGCAAGATCTGAACCCAGGTCGTCTGACTTCCAAGCCAGTGTCTTTGCCACTTCACCATGACTTAAATAGCCAGATCTGCCTAGTTCTCAGTTCCTTTCTGAGCCATAGCAGGTTCTGAGTTTTTGTATTACAGCTTTTTGAATGAGTGCACACAACCATTCTTTGACACAGAGAAAAACTGGACGACATTTTAATAACAGCAGGCTTATTAAGGCTCGTCCCAAGAAACTTTTTAACAAAGGGTTATACAACGATGAAATGTGTGACTTTGTGAAGTACTGTGAAGTACTTCAACCTGCCAGATTGAAATACTGTCTAGTTGACCATTTTGTCAGAAGATCCGAGCTCCATGATTCCATAAAATAGAAATTCTGGACTCCTTTTTACTTGTTTATTTATTGTGCTAAAATAAATTCTGTCTTGCATAATGTTGGAGGATGTTTGGAGTTAAAAGTGACAAAAATGAGAAAACTGAAAGCAGCAGAGAAAAACAAAGGAATTTGGCTACAATTCCACTATCAACTAATTGAAGAGAAAGGGGATAGTTCTTCTAGGGTACTCAGTTTCCTGTCTTTAAAACAGTCAAGGGCCTACATTTCCTTGTTTGGCAAATTTAAATGTGTAAGCAGGAGCTACTTCCTGTTACATCTTATCCTGTCATATATGGTTGCCTTGGATTTGCTAATGCTGTGCCAACTAAGCACAAGTTCTTACAAGTTCTCCCAGACTAGAGAGTTCAAAGCCTTCATATTCAGCCCTGGGGACAACTTGTAAGTCAGTTGTCTGAGGACTGGCCCAGCAAAGTCAGGACTGATCAACTTATCACCAGAAGGTATACAGCCATGTGAAGAATTTTTTTTAAACCAACATAAAGACTGTCTAGTTAGGGTATAGAGGGCCTGAGATATTTGTCATTGAATAAAGTACTCATGTCAAGGAAATGAGTGAATGATGAAGGAAGGAAGGAAGGAAGGAAGGAAGGAAGGAAGGAAGGAAGGAA